AGTGTAACATCTTCTGGCCCAACTCACTTGGCGTGATTTTTTTTTTAATTATTATTATTTTTGGACAGAGACGAGAACAATTAATTGAATTGAAACACATATTGATTCCTGCTTTTCATGAACTCTGCACAGCTTGTCTCTCACTGACGTTATCGAGGAGTTTTAAAATCATTGTTTGCGGGGCTGTCTCCCCTGTGACCTCATGGGGGCGTGAGTGCCCGTTTGCAGTTTCCATGTCTGATGTTGGTAAGCTGGGCAGCTCCCGGGAGCTGTGTCAGAACAGGAGAACCTGCTTCAACAACCTGCTTCACATACAGGCCCTGAGTGGGGGACTCAGAGTCCACTTCACGGCAAGTTTTCCCTATCCTTGGTGGGCAGAGATGCAGCAGCAGGGAGAGCCCCATTTCACCCAGTGGCAGAGAAACTGATCCAAGGATGATGATGGAGATGTCATCAGGCAGAACCTGACGGAGACAAGTGAGAAAGTCTCTGAGCCCAGAATATCTCACAGCTCATGGGCACACGAGTCCCCTGGAGATCTTGTTAAACACAGCCCGATTCCAATGGCTGGGGCTGGGGAGTCAGGGCCTGACGTGCTCCCAGGTGGGACTGACCTGTGGGTTGTGGACACAGACTGTGCCATCACCTCTCTCTGTACTGTCTGTTACTCTGTTTAGAAAAGTGCCCACTGACAGGCTTGTTGCGTCACCCCCACGCACATGCGCCCTAGAGTCTGAGGCCAGGATCTAATACGTCCTCACACTTCTGACCAGGGCAGGTAAGACTGGCTTCCAGTGAGGCAGGGAGAGAGGTCACAGTTGTCGGAGAATTAGGGGGGTCTCAGGGTCAGGGCTGGACTCCCATCCCTTAGGGAGGGGGTCTAACAGTTCACAGCCATTCCAGTGAGCTCATCCAGGTAAGAACTGACTCAAAGGAAGAGGTCAAAGTTGGGGAAGCAGACAGGTGTGACAAAGTTGTCACATCATCCACCTGAATACAAGGTCTCTCTGTAAAGAGAGGAGCCCTAATTGCAACATCACAGACAGTGGGAATGTGCTTGCCTCCCAGTGCATTCTTCAGATGACACCAAAAAGGAACATGTACTCACAACCCATTGTCATATAACAGCCAGGTGATTTTTTAAGACTATCGATCGATTCTGTTATTTTTCCGCTAAAAATCTTTCTAGGGCTTCCTGCTCTTCTCAGGATAAGTGCAAACTCTAGGAGCTCTGCAAAATATCACTCTGCACTCACCTTCACCATGGTCTTCTCACTGTCCTCCACGCTCTTGAAGCTTCAGACACCCTGCCGCTCTCCTATTTGCCAAATGTGCAAAAGTCAACCCCACCCCAGGGCCTTTTTCATCATGTGTTATCACATGAATTCATCACATGTTATTATTTATATATTTGAAACCTGGTCACAGGCAAGGGTCTAGCAGCAGAGCAACTCTGAAATGAGGTGTAGCTTGTGATTTTATAGGTTGACATGGATTCAGTCTCTTAATTCTTACCCAGTTGAAGCCTGGAACATTCCAACACTTTCACATTGCAAAATTGGGGACCAGAGACAGAACAGAACATAAAGTCATGAAGCTTCTCAGATTTTTTTTTTTGGGTGGGTGGAGGAGGGCGGAGGCAGAATTGTCCAAAGATAACAGCCAAAGTTGTGACTTTGGCTCAGGGGTAACGAGATAATTTGATCCAACACACCACTCAGACCAGCTGCGTTTAACAATTACAAAGCATATATAGCGATAACCCTGCCCCCTTTCTGTTTCGTTTAGTTTCAGTGAGTTTAAAGTTGTACAGAGAATGGTACTGACAACTGTGGATTTCTCTTGTTTGTGTTAACCTACTTTTCTTTGTCAAAAATATATTTTTTGAGGCTAGAAGAAGTTATTTGTAAATTACAGATTTTTCTCTAAAAATTACAACCAGAAACTAATTAAAAAAAATCAAATTGGTTTCATCTAATTAAATTTGGAAATTGCCTTATAAACACATACCACTCTGTTATAAAAGTCTTATAAGCATAGTCTCCTGCTTACAGTCCACAGAGGGAACCTCCACTCGTAAGGACATGTTCTCTTATCAAGTGCTGAAATTTTCTAAAACACAGTGTGGCCAAAGTGGTGTTTCTCAAATTTACAGTCCATGTGAGTCACCCAGGGCTCTTATTAAGCTGTAATCTCTGGTGTAGAGGTCTGATGGGGCCTGGGATGTGTATTCTCACCAGCTCCCAGGTAACACCAGTGCTGCTAATCCCTGGACCACCCTGACCGGGAGGCAAGACACCCGTACTTGAACACGGGCATAGGAATTTGGCTGTGATGGCAAATGGTCTGACCTTCATCTTTTCACTTCACCACTCTGAGTCTCAATGCCCTCATTTTTATGTCATGATGAGATCCAACACTTATTAATTCTATTTATGAATGCCAAACATTGTACTAAATATATATTTTTGTTCATGAATAAATATAAATGAGAGGTACTTGAGGTACCCAAGCAAATAAGCAGCAGAGCTGTGATGCTAAGCTAGCTGACCTTAAAAGCCAATATTCTTGCCTTTGACAGCCTTGCTAGGTTGTGACACACATGGGCACCACCATGGTTATGCTCAAAGCACAAGGGCCTAAGCCCATTGCCCCCTTGGTCCCTTCCCAGCATCAGCTAAGAATTTTGGTTTAGTTTCATAAGGAGGCCTCAGATGCCACCAGACAGATAGCTGGGACATTTGAGTGCCACCTCTGTGCAGTCACAGTCCACCTGAAGTTGTCTCGCCATAGACAACTCTGAAAACTCTGTTTTCACAAGAGTCCACCAAGGGAATGCCAACGACACTGGCATCTAGTCTTTAAAAATTCACCACAACTGGCTTCACAAAAAGTAAGAAAAAGAGCACACTGTCACAGCCTGTACCCAGAGCCCCAACAAGGTGCCACAGAATGAGGCCCCCGCTTCAGGAGGATACTGCGCAAACAGATTTGCCCTGTGTTCTCTCTCCATCGACTTCTTTCTTCTTATCCTCTAGGGTTTCTGAGCCCAGCATTGGACACCATGTAGCAGAGCAAGAAGTATACTTCTTCCAGGAAGGAGTCCTCACAAGGCCATGACCCTGCCTGCAACCTGGCCCTGGTCAGTAGCGTCCAGCTGCAGAGAGGGTCAAGATCAGGGCCTGTGAATAACACATTGTCATCCAGACACACATAGTGAGAAGAAACATAAGGAGTTATTCATAAAGTTGCCATGAGTTATTCATAAAGCTGAATTTATTCAGTCCGAAGGACTGCCTTTTATTTTGACATTATATCCTTTCTGTATTTTTGAAGTGATGTCTTCTATGAAATGTTAATAAGTGAGGGTAAAACACTCTATGTCGGTCCCCCAAACCTTTTGAAATGCTACTGGCTTGTGAATTCCAAAGTCTTGAACATCTGGCATAGACCGCCTTTTGCATATCAGGAACAAGCAACTTAGCTTCCTTTGTTGTGGGTCCTTTCCCTGTGGTTTACAAAGAGCAGGCTGGGACACAGCAGAGATCTGTTTTGGGTGTGTGCATGTGTGCACTTGTGGCCTCTGCTATCCAAAGAACAGCATGCGGCTTTGAAATGGCTGGGTTTCTTGGAGTTGAGTTTCTGGCTCATCTCTTCCTTGACGATGTCTTGAAAGCTTCCCGGGTAAGGCATACTGTGCACTTCCCTCCAGCAGCATCTCCAGGACAGATGCTTCTCCGCCCTTGTGGCCCAGGGTGGCTCTTAAATGGTGATTGGGGTGTTTGCTCCCTCCTTTCCCGTGCTGATTCCAGGAGCTGCACCAAGCTCCCTGCGACTCTAAAATGGACATGTGATAAAGCTCTTCCGCGGAACACTGGACTACCTGAGGCAAGGCTACTTCCGAAGGTACTTTCCGGGTTATTTACACCTGCTGGGTGTTTTCTCCTATCGGAGGAGCGTCTGTGTCTTCAGAATAATCCTGAATCTTCTCCCCACATCCTTCATTTCCTAATGGTGCCGTGATTTATCTCCAAGCCCACCTGCCACAGGGGCATATTTCTGGGGCTCCCACCCCTCATGGGCCCTCAGGGCGATTCAGCCTGGGGGTGCTGACCTTTCCCTCAATGCTGAAGCAGTGATCACTGCCTCCAATGTTAGAGGTGAAAAAACCAAGGCTCGGGAGAAGAAGGGGATTCCAAAGAACACTTGAGACTCGCAGGGACACTAGGACAAGGGGCTGCCTCTTTGCATGGACAGCCTCCATGATCTTCCCTCTCATGCCTGCATTTTTCTGTTGCGCCCCTTATCCAGAGCTCCTGGTGGCTCAGAATATAAGAGGTGGAAGCAGAGTCCATTTTGTCCTTGTGCCAACAATCCCTGAATTCAGCTGCATCAGCCTTCATGGAACTGCGTTCCATGTTGCTTTGCTGTGCTGTGGACTTTGACACAACCTGCTCTGATTTCCGAGGCTTAAGGGAGCCTTGTCACGATGACTGTGGGGCACCTGCCTGCCCCCATTGCCTCTGCTTCCTCTCTGCTATGGAAAGGCTCTGTTAATCTGGAGGTGAGGGCTTCCGACATATCTCTTGGGTGCCAAGAGTGAGTGAAAGCTCAAGAAGCATGTGCCCTCAGGGCCGAGGATGGCGGTAGGGCTGTTTCAGAAGCCCAGGAGCTGACTGACTGGGCTGGCAGCGCATCATGGGTGGTTCATCCAGAGGAACTACAGCTACTGTTTGCCAGGCTGGGTCTTCCCGGCGATGCCTAGGGAATCTCTGAGTCCTGACTCACACTAGCGTCACAATGCACATCTGTCCAAAACTTTTTGTGTTTTGAGCTAGGGTAACGATGCCTCTGTGTGTCCTGTACTCCATATTGTCGCTCCTTTGGCTAAGGTAGGTCTCACTTACCTTTATATCCTAGAGAATATATTCTCCATCTTCAGTGTGACATAAATTGAAAAAAGTTAATCCATGAGATACAGTCAAAAAGATTCGTCTTACCTCATAGAGTGTGATGACTCCATTGGTCTCATTGGGGGGTTTCCACTGGATGTAGATCTTCTCCTCAAAAGGCCCCCCCTGGATGGATTCTAGAGGAACAGCTCCTGGAACTGTAGAAGGAAAAAATGAGGCATGTGACATTGCCTGGCAACACATTTCTCAGCCCCACTGACCCAGGATAGGACTAGGTGAAGTTTTCTGTGAAGAGTCACAAAGTAATGATTTTAGGAGGGTACGTAGTTTCTGTTGTCACTACTCATCTTTGCCCTGGAAATACAGAAGCATCGTGGACAAACCATAAATGAACAGGCATGGCTATGTTGCAATAAAAATTTATTTCTAAAATGAAGGCACCTGGCAGGCTGGATTTGACCCCCCAAGTCAGTTTGCTGATCCCTCCAGAAAGCTGAAGGCTATTTCTCTGCAGACTGAGCAAGTTTGTTCTTGCAGTAAATCTGATCAGGGCAAGGAGGACATCAGCAGGCTCCTAGTTCTACCAGCAGGTGGGATTCTAAGACAAGTCTCTTGCCTTCGGGTTGGCATTTAAGGAGTGTAAAGTGAGTTTCAGTACCCTCTTCCTACCCTTTCCAAGTTTTCTTTAAGTAAAAGAAGCGTCTCCTCAGTTTCTTGACTAACTCGTGAATCCAGTAGGAACAATGTGCCTCGAGATCTCACTTCTGTTAAATGAAACTTGCTGCCTTCCAACAGTTTTTGTCTCACTGCTGAGTCCCCATTGCCTGGGACCTCACAGGCTAGGCCAGAACGACCTGTGCCAGTTCTCTGCCCTGAAGAGCACAGGCTTCCCTGGGTTGCTTCTGTACCAAGGTCCCTCTTTCTGTCAGCATCCTCCATTGTAATCGCCTAGAAGATGCTGGACCATAAAATAAACAAGTCCCCAAACTTTCAGCTAGAACCCTTTAGGGAATCATGAATTCATGTAAATCATTACCTGGTCTATTTATATTTTGGTATTATAAAAGCAAGTACTCTTACTAAGTGCTTACTCTTTGATTAAAATGTTTCACACATTATTTCACTTAAACCATAAAATAACTCTACCCAGTATGTATCATCTCCTTTGTACTGAAAAAGGGACTGAGACTGAGAGAATTAAATAACTTGCTCAAGGTCATACGACTCTTAAGTTGTAAAGAGGGAACTGAACACCTGTCTGTGAGCTTCAAAGCATATACTCTTAATCATCATGTATGCCTCTCTCTAGATATAGCCTTGGCCATATGTCGCAATCAGTTCTCTATTGTTAAATTAAAATATATTTAGTTTTTCTCATTATGGACATTATACATGGAATTTGTTGAATATTACAGATATACAAAAAGGTTAAAAAAAGAACAAAATCACTCCTAATCCCAGTACCCAGAGATATTTTGCAACTACTTTTATGCCTACGCATATACATATTCTATTTTTAAAAATTAAACTCCTACTGTGTATGTTGTATTACAGCCTTCTTTTATCACTAAAAATAAATCACAGATTTGGAAAAACAAAAAGCCTCAAATGTACTTTGAGGTCATGCATTTTAACGACCGCTTGGGGCAAGATACGCCCCACTCTAGTTACCGATCCTTTATTATTAGCCATTAAAGTGGGCTTGGATTCTTTAGGGTTGTAAGTAACATTATAATGAGCATTCCTATAAATAAGTATTTGCATACAATTCTATTGATGTCCCTAACAGAAATTTTTGGAAATTAATTGAGCTAAAGTAGATAAACTTTTGCTTTTAAGGTTTCAGAAACAAAATAGATTGCTTTCCAGAAAATTTGTACCCTTCTGGAGTCCCCAGAAGAATATGCCTATTCCCAATCCTTGTCAAACCTCACTATTTAAAAAAATTAAGTGTATGCATATGCATGTCTATGTGTCATTTTTAGAACAGTGGAGAGTGCAGGATTATTTTTTTTCCAGTTTAATTGGCCATTTGCATTGATTCTTTTATGAACATGCTCTCTATATCTTGTGCTCATTTTCCTGCATGGCTCTTCATTTTTGTTCATATTCATCTTCTGGCCTTGTAATTATAATTGGTTTTTAAGGTCATAAGCTTTTATGCGCAGGTTATAAATATTTTTGTCATTATCACATTTGCCTTTGAATTTTTAGGTATGTAGAATCTTCTCGGTAGTTAGAACTCTTATTGCATTTCCTTATCCATTTATCACTTCCACAAATATTTATTGAATACTTAATGCGATGAAGGGACTTTGATGGACACTAGGGATGCAGTGCCAAAGAAAAATATATTCAAATCCTTGATAAAGCTTGTATTCTGGAAATGGAGACACCTTAAGTAAGTAATTAGACTCACAGTGAATTTTTTAAAGTTGTTATAAGACTTGGTGGTAAAGGCAAAGGTACTAGAAGAACTGTAGCAAGCAGAGAAAATTCTAATGTGTTAAGTGAGGATAACAAGTAGAAAAAAAGTGATGGCTGATGGATAAGTGAAAGTTAGTAGGGCAGAAGCAGAGAGGAAGGGTGCCGGAATGTAGTGGAGTGTGGTTGAGGAAAAGTAGGGGCTTGGGCAGCATAATGATGGGCACCGGAGATGCAGGCTGTGAGGAGACTTGGGGGCATAAAACTAGAGTGACTCGATATTGGCTGATAAAGGTAAAGGAGGGAAGAGATGCATCAAGGAAGGCTCCAGTCCTTCTGTCATACAAAACCGGGATGGATGAGCATGATGTTCCTAGAGAGAGCCCGAGAGGATAATTTGTTCTGGAAAGGAAACTGACAAGCTCACTTTATTCTCATTCTTCATTTAAGGTGTGTGTAGAATGTCTGCAAGGCACTGTGGGTAGTGGTTGACTATTTGACATCGGGGTCAGGGAACAGATCTTGTAGAAAGACTGTAGAGGAACAGAACAGCAGGCCAGGGACCCAGCCAAGAGTTAAGATAATCTTAACAACTAGGAGGAAAATAAAGAAACTGAGAATTTGGGAAGTCATTAGAGTTCAGAAAGATAATGGAAAACTAGGGAGGTGAAGTGTTAGAGGTGATGAAAGGTGATCTTCCAAAAGGGTTAAATGCTATAGATGTAACCTTGTATTTTCCTACTGAATGTAGTATCAGCAAGGTTACGTATAGCCTTGGCAAGAGTAATTTAAGGGGTACACTGAGTCACAGCCCTCCTGTCACCTCAGGAGAAGAGCTGATGCTGAGACAGATTATCTAGTTGTGAACATGGTGGAGGGTTGCAGAAGTACAGGGATGCACTATGGAGCTAAGGTAACGCCCCTCTCAAAGACGAGGGCAAAATCAAATGATTTTGGAGAAAATCCAAAATTGAGGTTAAGAGGTAAGGGTTGGAAAGTGAGAAGAAAGAATTGACATTGTTAGGGCCCGGGAAGGCAGGAGCAGGGGTAGGTGAGGATATAAGAAGAGAAAGAAAATGTGCAAATGCTTTCTCCAAAGGGTGGGGTGATTTAAGGTATCCTAGTGGCTCCATTCTCTGGAGAAATGAAGATGAACATCTACCAAAATTTGGTAGAGGAGTTTAGCCAGGAACTTGGGGAAAGTGAAGAGGGCATATTGATTGAGAAGTGAACCATGAAAAGAATAGAGACCCCGATAATGCCAAGGATGACCTTGACTATCAAGTTAGCAACACTAAGCCACCTGGCCTCCTCCTTGAGTTCTTGTTCAGAGACAGTTCTCTCTGTCACTCAGATCTGTTGAATCTCAGATCTGCATTTTTTTCCTATTTTTTAAAGAGTTATTTATTTATGCATACAGAACTGGGGTACAGGCCAGAGAGGCAAGGGTGGTGAGAGGATTCACCAGAGACAGAGTGGGGAGCAGAACAGGCAGATTGACGAAGTACACTGTTGAGGGGAGCAGTGGGCGGGTCAGGAGAGGTCTGCCGTGCCATGTGGTCACCTCCGGGGCTGGGATCGAACTCATGCTCAAGTGGCTTTGGCTTCTTAGTGCTGTGCTTTAACCTGCTGCGCCACTGGGGAGGGCCCTGCATTTTTTTTTTTTTTCTATTTATGATGCATTCCCATCTCTTTCTCCACCTCAAACTTTAATCCACCTGGAATTTGTTTTATATCCTATATAAAGTAGGAATCTAACAATAGTTCTTTATAGCTTTCTTAGGACAACTAGTTGACCAATCAAAAATGTTCCTGGTGATTTAAAATGCCATTTTCTACTATTTTCTATTCTGGCATATGTTGTGTGGCTTTCTCTTGTATTTCATTGAGTCATGACTTCTACTTTTGTTCATAGCTCTCTTGTGTTGATAGAACATAATTTAATATTTGATAGAACAAGTCCTTCTCTTTTATTATTCTTATTTTACAAAGTTTTCAAGGCTCTATCCATGTATTCTTCCAGAACAACTTCTGAATAATTTCACAGAACTTCAAAAATGTTCCATCAAAACTTTGGTTTCAGTTATGTCCTTCTTTTTTCAAATGACACATTTTTATAAATCTGACAATTTTTTACAAATTTGTATAAATCTTCTATTTTTTATGTTCCTCAGTTTAAAAATCCACATGTTAACTTCTTACAAATTACATTACTAGAACTATTACTTTGTTTCATTTATCTTTGCATGATATCAAAAGGTTTTGTTAATGAAACATGAGACAAAATTACATGTATTTAAATGCATAGCTTAGTGAATAATGACAAAATTAACACATAGCTAAGAAATTAAACATCACTACTATCACTGAAGAATTCTATGCTGACTCCTCTCCTTCATCAAAAAAATAAAATCTACTACTTGAATTTTATGTTAATCATTATTTTTATTTGGAATTATAAATATATACATCTAGGGCAAGACAACATACTGTTAGTTTTAGTTTTAGTATTTTATTCACCTCCACTCTATAAATGTAGTGTCATTTATTTCATTATCACAGTTTACTATAGGTGGGCATTAGATTTGTTTCCTGATAGGGCTGTCTTAGAACATTATTCCTGTGAATATCTTTCTACATATGGCTGAAAATATGTAAGATTTCATGAAGGTATACCTAGCAATAGGTAGATAGACTAAGGGTGCATCTCTCTTCACTTTTATTGAGTAATGCCAAATTATTTGCAAACTGGCAGTAGCAATTTATATTCCCT